AAAAACAAACAAAGTCCTAATTTCTTTTGACTGTCAGGTGAAAATCGCTCTAACACAATGAATAACTGTCTATAAATGTTAGTTTCAGTTGGCAACGAGTGTGCGTCATCTCCGTGCCGACCTGATCAAGTTTGTGAAGACTTTGTTGGCGATCACGTGTGTAGATGTCCTCCAGGAAAGTTTGAAAAGCAAAGCAGCAACGAATGTAAAGGTGAGTACCTAAAATGATGATTTAGATGCTTTTCACCCGTGGAGGCTCTCCCTTATATGGGCTACATAGATATGTGTGGTTGCAAAGAGTATGGTTTTTTAGCCGTTTTGGTCAGAAATAGGGTATCGATTTTGGCTACATTTTGTTCTCAAATAGGGTGTTGTTTTTGCACTCTAGTCTTGAATTAGGTATGCTACTTTTCCCTTATTATTGATAAGACCATCAACAAAAGCCCTTCACAATGCCTTTAACATTAGTCTGCACTTGGGAACTACAGTCGGACCTCCACTAACGGACACCTCCCGTAAGCGGACACCTCTTATTAGCGGACAACAAACTGCGGTCCCGTCGATTTCTCCTCTCCAACACTACACTTTTAACTTCCCGTAAGCAGACACCTCTCCTAAGCGGACACGGACACCTATTTGGGTTCCGCAGGGTCTAAAATAGCCTCCTATAAGCGGACAGAGAACAATATCGAGAAATAGGTTCGGTTTTAATGGTTTAATCACATACTGACCTAGATCAAAGCAGTGTTCGAGTCTGAACAGTACAGTGCATATGAAGGTAACCTTCCAATAAGCAATTTTTTTTTCATTACAATACATCAAAGTTTTCCTTTTTTAACTTTTCTTTGAGCCGGTCGCACGAAAACTTGTCTCCTTGAAATATGAACTCGCAAAGCAAATATTCCAAGCCATATCCTGCTCCTCTGTTTCGGAGTTCGCCAACTGCCATGGTAACGAGGAACTTTCAAATGCTCTACTCAGCGCGTCGGATATCTTAAGAGACCTTAAGATCAGGGAACCACAAAAGCAGACACTGATTGATAGTTTCTTTTTTACCCACATAAGGACACGTTGCGTTAGAAAATGACAATCATGCAAATGGACATACATTATTTACTTCTTCTGTTCTGTTCACCTCCAAAAAATTGGCGATTGAGTATGTTACTGCTTACATCTATTTAGCGGCAAGTCTTTTATTATTGACCCATAGTATCGGTGTTAAATTTATGTACGTGTAATAGAAAAGTAACATCCAACATCCCTGTGATGGATGATACAATAATATAACACCCTCCGGTAAGCGGACACCTCCCGTAAGCGGACATTTACCCTTGGTTCAGGGGGTGTCCGCTTACGGGAGATTTGACTGTAGTTATAAGGCAGGTCTGAAACAGGGTATTGATATAAGAGTCTGGTCTCAAATAGGGTACTAGAGTTTTAGTCGCTTCATATACCGGCTAGGGAAAATCTCAGATTTTGGTCTTAAATAGTGTAAGGGTTTTGGGAAGGGGGCTGCACTCCTTCACCCGATTTTTCTGGGAGTGCCCTTCGGGAAATAGTTAGGATTTGTTAGGAAATAGTTAGGATTACATAGCATAAGTGCTAGAGCTAGGGGGCGAGTTTTAGTTCCGGGGCAGAAGGGACGTTTCTGGCAATGACGGATAGGATTGAGGTACCTTTTAGAGATACAAAGTCGTGAGAAATACTTTTCGTATGTGATCTGATGGAACCTTCCCACTTGTCTTTCATAGATGTGTTGAACCAAAGATATCGCCAATGTTTATTGATAATCCTAAATTTCCGTGGTCGGGGTTAAAAATGTGTGTAAATCTCAGATGGGCACTATCGTGACCTTCACTTCGAAACGCCAATCATTAAATTATGACACTGAAGCCGCATAAAATGGCTGCTGGGAATTTGTTATGCTCAAGATTATGATGTCAAATTGGAAAAGTGTGCGAGACGCTTTCCAGTCAGCCTATTGTAACCAGGTAACCTTTTGTAACCAGGAACTCCGCTTTTAGGCTTAGCTAAATGATGGTATATACTAGTTTACCTAAATGGTACAAAATGCTGCCGAAGGGAAGGAGGATGTGAGGAGTGTCAATGCAGAGCAGAGTTGTTCCCATACAGAACTCCTGATCGTCCGTAACAGTAACAAACTGGTTTATTTAACTTCTCGCATTACAGCACTCAGCAGCACTAAGCTTCATTGCATTTTTCATTGCTTCATTACATTTTACAACTGGTTTACTTCTATATTTGTGGTTTTGAGAGCTTTAACACTTAAGGTAAGCTAACGATAAAATTTTGAACTGACTTGATTCTCTATCACGGCGGGCGCCTTTGACCTACATTATCTTCTTCGTTTCTATAATTTTCCAAATGACTTCTGTTAGTATTAGATGAGACTCCACAAGAGTGTTGTGTTGGATATTCTGGACTGATGTTCCTGTTGCTCCCGATTTGCCTTCATCTTTATTTTCATCGATCGAAGAGAGTACATGGAAAACAGCGCATCTTAGTAGAGAGCTGCCTAATACAGAAAAGACTAAGTTTACAAAGAATAATTTATAAAGGAGTACGGGAACGATAAAAGAAGCGTCAAAAATAGCAATATACACAGAAGAAAACTGTCACTCACCGTCGTACACTGCGACCAACGATGCAAGAGAGAGAGAGCACAAGATCAGACTGCGCGTCTTGATTCTGCCATTCGTGCATAACCACAATTCCTTGCGCCTCTGATCTTACCGCTACCACAATTCTTTGCGTTTCGCAAAAACGAAATCAAGGCCCCTACAATGTGACCTTTTCCCGATTAGATAGCGGCCTTGTTCGTTTTGTTTCGTGCGCGAATCAAGACTTAGTCATAATGTCAGCACTGTTTTCACCAAAACTGTAGCACAATCTCCTTGTCCTTTTAACTTTGACCTGTTGCTTAGTGCGCATGCCCTGTGAGTGACAAGTGTTTTAATCTTGTATTTTTGCAGCCGTCGATGCGTACGAGGGATCAATCAAAGTAACTGGGGGAAACTATTCGACCTACACTCCAGAACTGGCGGACGAGAAATCTAAGAACAGGTGTCCTATGACCCTTCTACCTTCCCGTAACGGCCACCTCTCTACAGCGGCCACATTCCTCTATCCTTAAGGTGGTCGTTGTGGAGAGGTTCAACTGTAACCCCTTTAAGCTCCAAGGCGAACAACCGTTTTTCCCAAATCAACAAACACAGGTTCCCTGCCTATGTATAATATACCATTTGAAAGCTACCAGTCACCTTAGTTAGAAAATGACATTAGCAGCTATGAGGGATGTTGTCATTTTGAGAGAAATGAGTTTAAAACGCAAAAATGAAAACTTCCAAAAATGTGCCAACCTTCTATTGTCTTAGGTATAGCCCTGAACTATACCTTATTTTGCAGCTCTTAGTGCACAGCATAATGTGCAGTACGTCTTGCATCCCATGTACATCTCAAAAATGAAATTGGAAAATTGTGTGGGTGGTCAACCATATGCTAGATAGGAGGGGGTCACAATTTTATGACTTCAATGAGCAAATTTTTGCAAGACAATTCTTGTGGCAAAAATTCATTGAAATTGATGAAATATTCACAAAGTTATGACGTTGTGTGCCAATTGGCTTTCTTGGGGCATAAAGGGTTAAATAATAATAATCTCTTTCCTTTGCAGGTGGACGCCGTCTACGAGAATTCAGAACTGGCGTCAATATACCAAGGATGCGAAGTCCAAGGATTTAGGTACCGACGAATACGCAATGACTGTCTTTATTTACCGCAATGTCTTTTATTTGCCATAGGTTTTATGTATACTAGAGTATTTTGATTGGCAAAATCGCGCCGTGATCAGGTTGTGTTGTTTATAGTATCTCGTTTTATATTGAAAAAGTTCGCGTTTCCGTTTACAAAAATATTGACAACAACTTAGAATTGGAGACAGCTAAATAAGCTGCTGGTGTTGTAAATTATTACAAGCAGCAAATGTTTGTGATTGTTAGTACCCGGTGAAGTTGAAAATCGCTTGCTGAACGATTTGAAATCTCGTTGTCTTTTTTTGTTCGTGTGTGTCTCTCTGTATTGTCTTGCCTTCTCCCTGAATTTGATCATGTCAGAAGGCAAAATCTAACAAGGCCAGCGTTCCAAGTGGTTGAAACTGTCCCACTTTCCTCGAATTATTTTAATGTAAACTTTTGAAAGACGCAACGTTACACTGAACGTGTTATTTTCGCATTCATTATACGAATGGGTAGCTGAAATTGAACTGAAAAGCCCACTTAGCGAGCTTCAATAAAGTTTGTATGTATGTATGTATGACTGGGAAAATTATTTCATTGTGATTGWCTGAGAGCAGGCCAATTAATAGATGATTTTTAATTTGCACTGCACTGCAAATTAACGAGCGCTGGTTCGTTTTCTCAGTCGTACGATAAATGCGAGTATGCAAGCTTAAGCAGTTAAGGATTTTCTCACTCAGTCGTAATATTTGGAAATTGTTTCAAATTGCTCTCCCCTGGAGGATCGTGCAATTTTGACAGAATGTTCAAAACTCACTCGTGCTACAAATCCTTAACTGCACACGCATTGATAGGATTACCTATACTAATTTCGCGGTTATAGTCAATCAGTTAATGCGTCTTGTTTATTTACGTTTCCTTTATTTACAGACCAGGCAGTGTTATTGCTGATTTTGTGATCAATTTTCAACAAACTGCTAATGAAACCGTGTTACCAACTGCGAATAAGATCTTTAATCAGAGCGTCACTAACTCCCAGAATGGATCGCTCCTGGGGGATTTGCAAGTTGATCCATCTTCTGTTGTTGTTGGGGGTAAGAAACTTAAAGCTATTTTGTATAAGGAAACACAGTTAGTGTGTCATCTTTTCATGCAAGCCAATTCCGAAATGTCTGTTCCCGTAGTAAAGTATTGATGAAAACAAACTTACATTTTCATTTGTTTCCTGAAGAGTGAAAATTTTGCAATGCAATAAGATGGAGAGAACTTGATGAAAACTGAATATTCGATTAATATTTCTCATTATTAAAAACTGCGTCATTGGACAATGCAATTCAAGAGTTTTCATGTGCTTAACCCTCATGGTATATGAGCCATTATGCCTTGCTCTACAAATATGGGAAGCGTGCGCGTAGTTTTTTTATTGTAGTTTTCTATAGGTTGGGGTCCTTTTCAATGAAACAATTATTCCACTCGCGCTTATTGGATATGAGAAGATTACAACCAACTCGTTGGCTATATATTATCTCATATCTAACGCACGCTCGTGGAATCATTGTCAAATATGGACCTCACCCACGGTCAGTAGAGTCTATATGTACCGTATATTATTCGCATAAAGTTTTTAATTTTTCTTTCCCTTTGCGTAGATCGTGACGAGTGTCAAGACCCCAGCACTAATGACTGTGATGAAAATGCCAATTGTGAAAACAATGTGGGATCATTTGAATGTTCTTGTAAGCAAGGGTTCACAGGAAATGGAGAAACATGCCAAGGTGATGAGTAAAATAAATTAGCAATTAACTTTTTATTAACTCTTTTGACCAAAAGACCATGTCAAACGGAGAAGGGTGAACATCAAGTCTTTATTATTTACGCTTATAAATTAACAAATTCGGTGATTTTCCAAATTTTTGATAAGGTCAATGTTTATGTCACGTGTTTATTCAACACACCCAATCGCCCTTCCCTTTGTAAATATAGAAAGAATTAACCGAGGGATGCAGGGCAGAGATAATCCGACAGACAGAGAGCAAGACAGACAGACAGACAGACAGACAGACAGACAAGCAGAAAGGCAGACAGATAAAAAGGCAGACAGGTAGAAAGAAAGACAGACAGAAAGACAGACAGACAGAAAGGCAGACAGAAAGAGAGATAGACAGATAGACAAGCAGAAAGGCAGACAGATAAAAAGACAGACAGACAGGCAGACAGAAAGACAGACATACAGCTTCACAAAATCAGAACTCTCGATAAATATATATTATTAGATAATTCTAATAAAGATGTAGAGTATGAATTTATTTTTCACTCCTTCTTTATTCACAGACATTGATGAATGTAAAAATGCCTCCCTGCACAACTGCAGCATTTCTACTCCTGGAGTCGCGTGTCTCAACACACCCGGAGGATTCCAGTGCACGTGCAAGTCAGGCTATTTTGGGAATGGAGTCACGTGTAACGGTACACTATTAAAAAAATTGTAAATAAACAAAGATTAGTTATGAGTATTTTATTGTCTATCCTTGTTATCTTTTATGTTTGAGGAAATTATGAATTCTCATTAGCAGTTTTTGCTTTTCGCCTAGAACTTATGTAAAAAAATATTAAAAGTCCGAACTTCAATTCTCTTTTCGGTATGTAATATTTGTCAATCAAATAATTTTTCTGCGTGCTGAAATGGCTAAGACGATTAATTACAATAGGGTTCGTGTTTGTTTAAATGAATTTTTCAGTGTTTAAAAAAGATCCAAGTAAAGGACCACAGGAAAAGAGAAATAAATCGCGATAGTTTCTTTATTAACGGTAAACCATCGATATTTGTCAGGATGTTAATGATATTTGCTATTTTTTGTTGCCTTAGTGAGCAACCACTGTTTGGCGGGAACAGATAACTGCCATCCGAACGCCACCTGCACCCCCTTACCAGGCCCCACATTCAAATGCGCGTGCAAAGAAGAAAGGAATTACTTTGGAAATGGAACACACTGCTTTGGTAAGAGTTATCGTTATATGTGGTTTTTCAAATTCTCTCCCCGCGGTAGTAATTCACGATGCTTTATCCATGTTTTTGCAACTAATGTCCTTTCCCTTTGCTCTTCCTTAAGTTTCACGAGCGAGAGAGAGAGTGCTACGTATTTTCTCTCCGTTATTTTAAACCAAATGCAAGGGCCGGACTGAGAGCATATCGGCCCGATCGAGGTCTTGACAGTACGGACCGAGCGCGGCCAGGTCCGTTTACAAAAAAGACCGAGGGCCGATATTTTCCCAGTACGGTTCCGTAGCTTGGCTTATAATAAATTTATTACACGAAAATACTAGAAAATCTTTAAGAGTGATCTTGCGGGGTCATTCGGGACGATGCCCGGTCCAATACTTAGAGAATATTGGACCGGCATTGGAGCAATCTGATTGGTTCATCTTAGTTATTGGCCCTTTAAACTAGCTTAGTCGTGTAATAATATAGATCTTCTCTTGCACGGCACTTGGGGAACTTGAGAAAACCACATCGGTAACAGTAACGAAGGAATCTTAAAACAGAAGGTTTAATAAGAAGATAATGGCTTTGCACGTCACTTGGATATTTAGGTACATTTGACAGTCGCCTTGTGCAAAACTTAACAAATTGTACCTGTTGTGTGGGACGTTAACCACGGCAGAGATTTTTTTCGTGCTACTCTCGAAAACTTTATGCAGCTTTTGCATATTTAGCTAGGAAAGTAGAGACGGTCGGCGAATCACAAAAGAAGTGCCAAGTATTCTTACTTTTCTCCTCTAATTTCCTCTTTGCAGTTGGATGTCCTGTTAATCATTGTGAAAATGGAGGAACTTGTATTATCTCCACAGTTGGAAACATTTGCAAGTAAGATAACATAAGTTGTGTGTGACATTAATTTGACACTGTAAGTCTCCATCAGCTCCGTGGTTAGAGCGTTCGGCTAGATCACGGAGGGTCATGGGTTCAAATCCCATCTGGAACTCGTATTTTTTCCGAGTAGATGTCATTTCTACATTTAATATTCATTATAACACTTACATACTAGTACCCGAGAACAAAATTAGTAGGTGTGAAAAGCGTGTAAAACGCGCCTGGAGTGGAGGCCTAAACAGTTGGAAATACAACCCTTAGGCATACATGCGAGTCTCCGTGCTAGAATTGTTATAGAGAAAAAGAAGAGAGAGAGAGAGAGAGAGAGAGAGAGAGAGAGAGCTGTAATGGCTTTTCCTTTTTCCAAATAAAACAGTTCAAGTGAGATTTTCCAATATGAAGTGTCTTAATAATTGTTGAACATTTTGTAACATTTTATTAGCAGAGGTTAAGTAACAAATAGGCTACTTCGACTCTCAGTCTCGCACTGGAACCTCACAATTCACTTCTAATGAAAAGTGCTGAAACAGAGAAATCAAAGTATTTTTTTAGAGGTCGATGTTCCGTTTATTATATGTACGTGTTTAATGTCCTATAAGAAGGAAAGGAAAAAACCTTTTACTCAATAACCCAGGTTCACTACGCTCTATCTTAAAGTCCTTTGGTCTCTTTAATTCAGATGTCCACGAGATTTCTATGGTGACCGCTGTGAAGAAGGCGGAGAACCGACCGAGGTGCCTGGAGTTGGTTCAGGTAAAGTTGCTTTGTATCACGAAAATAGCAGATACACTTCATTCGTGTTTGTTTAGAAAGGAGCCGAGTTATGATGTCCTCGCCCAAAGCCTTACTAAAATGCCGCACTTCCGTAACATCCTCCCCCCTCCCTTGCGCGACTTGGACACTGGTCATGTTTTTCATAAGTTAAGCATGACGTTTACGGCAGACGGCAAACGGCAAAGATTGCATCTGATTTGTTATTCTTTTCTTGTAATCCTTAAATAAATCAAACAAAAATAGGAAAATGTCTCTTGCTATTTACCGCAAATACAAATATTTTCACTCTGCTGTATAGACAGCTGAAGACAGACGCCAAAAGTTTCATTTTTGCCGTTTGCCGTGTGACGTAACGTCATGCTTAATTTCTTTATTGTTATTATTATTATTATTATTATTATTATTATTATTATTATTATTATTATTATTACTCCGTATCAGGAGCCACACAGTTCGTTTTTCTCTGTGACCTCATTTGACGGAACCTGCCGGAATTCATTTCTTTTTGAACAGATGACATGATGATGATTCTCGTGGTGGCTTTCGCCTCATTATGTGGGACATTATTACTGGTTCTTTTGGTCACTGTTTTTTGCTACTGTAGACGGAGGTAAGAATATATACAATTATATATTACTGAGTCACTTCCGTAATACTCAAACCTAATAATCAATCACTGTCCTGGAATGCTTTTGCAGACTTAAATCCATGGGATATTAACTCTTGGAGCACTCAAAAGGCCATTTCCGACTTGTCTTTTGCCTCTGTCAGTATTAAAACGAGTCTTTGTGTGAAAACATTCATATGACAAAGTTAAATTTAAATACACGACCCCACAAGCTTTTAGCTTTAATTATTATCGTGTTTAAATAAAGTTTATCT